CAAAGGCATTCTTCTTTTCTGTGGCTGCTTTTGATTCCTAGCGTCTTTCCGTTTCTGTCTGGGTTTCCATCTCTGTGCTTACATTGCCCATCTGTTCTTGCATTCCATCTACTTTGTCCCTTAGGGCTCTTGTGATGGTAATCATGGTTGTTTTGAATTCTTGGTCTGATAATTCCAACATCCCTGCCATATCTGAGTCTGGTTGATGCTTGCTCTGTCTCCTCAAACTGTGTTTTTACCATTTCAAAAGCTGTGTAATTTTTTTTTTCACCAGGGCTAGACATAATGTGCCTGGTTAAAAGGAATAAACAAGTAGACCTTTAGCGGTGTGATAATGAGCTTTTGGAGGGAGAGAGCATTTTGTAGCTCAGGGATTAGAACTTGTCTTTTAGTAAGCGTGTGCTTCTGAGCTGGCAGCCTCACAAGGCAAGGGTTGGTCCTTCCTTCTGGGTGGGATAGGACAGCTGGAGAGGGCTGCCGTTGGATCCCCATTGGTGGCTAGAGCAAGTTGCAGTGGTTATTTTACAAGTTGGTTAGTCTCAGGTATAGATGAGTCAATGAAGAGACCAGAAAAACTTCTTGGTTCCTTTGTTTTCCACCAAGATGCCAAAGCACCTCATTAGGGAGGAGGGATATTTTTTTTTTATCAAGAAGTGTTAGGCAATCAGATTTATACCTGGAAAAAAATTTGGTTTTAAAATTTTGCTTTTATTATTTTTTAACGGAAAGGAGGTATACAAAGAGAGGAAAATATGGAGAAAAGGATCTCTATCTTCTGATTTGCTCCGCAATTGTCTGCCACAGTTGGAGCTGAGCATATCCAAAGCCAGGAGTCAGGAGCCTCTTCTGGGTCTCCTACATGGTTGCAGGGTCCCCAGGCTTGGGACCATCCTTGAATGCTTTCCCAGGCCACAAACAGGGAGCTGGATGGGAAGTGGAGCAGTTGAGATACAAACTGGCACCCATATAGGATCCCGGCTCATGGAAGACGAGGATTTAGCCACTAGGCTATCATGTTGGGCTCGTTGTGGGAAAAAAATTTAACAACTATCTAATAAATATAAAACTGTAAAATTCAAAATGATGCAAAAACTTGAATAAAATTAAAACTATGGGAAGAAAATAGAAGTAAATATTTGTGACCTTTGGTAAGGCAAAAACTCATTAAACATGATAGTATAGTTAAGGAAAAGATCATAAATTGAACTTGATTCTATTTTTTTTTATATGTGTTTATTTGTTTGAAGACAGAGCAACAGAGAGCTTTGGCCAGCTTTCTCAGAACACTTTCATGGTAAGCTAATGTTACCATTCTTTGGCCCTCCAGAATGTCAACATACAAAATGCCTAGAACATGCAAAAAATAGCAGCAGCAACAAAAGCTTGATTTGCTTTCATGAAACCACTTCCACCTGGTGGTCAGCTTTGCAAAATTTATGTTGGTCTGACAGGCACCCTTTTTAAACTGGCATCTTATCCTGCTTAGTATATCAAATTAGATGTTCAGACATAGCAGGTGGGTTTTAATTATTTTCACACAAGACACATTGAAAGTCAGACATAGTTTTGTTTTCCTTTCTTTTATAAAATTTTGTTTATTTGAAAGGCAGAGCAGCAGAAAAATAGTGATCTTCTTCCGGATCCCTCAACCCTAGCTGAGCCACATCAAATCGGACTTACCTGAGTGGCAGGGGACTGGAGCTGGGTTAGCAGGATGCTGGCACTGCATAGGAGCTGAGGTCCCCCTTGTCAGTGTGCTTGTAGCAAACCCCAACAGGGAGTAACCATTGTGCATCAACTCACGTTGGGTAAATAAATTGTGGTCTGTTCTGTTGAGTATTTTAAGCAGTTAAAAAGCTAGAAGTAAGACTTGATAGTGTTTGGTTCTATTTACAGAAAATAACCAGAATTAGTGAATCTGTTAAGCCAAAAAGTAGATTTGTAATTGCCTATGAAAGGGCTGGGAAGGAGGAGAAACTTGAGCTGGGTGGGCGGGAGCTTCCTGTGATGAGAGGAAGATTGTGAAGCAGGTCACGGTCATGGTTGCCACTAAATGTAGCTAATCGTTCCAGCAGAAGTTTTTGAGTTGCATGTTTAGGTGATTTTTTTAATATGAAAATTAAATACTCAGTGAGACTATTAAAAGGATGGGGAAAGGACATGTTTCTAGATAGGAGAAAGCAATATTTAAAAAACATTGCTTGAAAATTTATTGCTACTAATCAGTATAACAACGATTCTTTGAAAAATAAAGTTTTCATTATAATAGTAACAATTATATAACAAAAACCATAAATTTAATGAATATGTAACTTTCTTTTTTCTTTTTTTTTCCTTTTCCTAAAGATCTACTTTATTTTTTGTTGGAAAGACAGATACACAGAGAGGAGAGACAGAGAGAAAGATCTTTCGTCTACTGGTTTACTCCCCAAGTGGCCACCATGACCGGAGCTGAGCCAAAGCCAGGAGCCAGGAGCTTCTTCTGGGTCTCCTATGTGAGAGCAGGGTCCCAAGACTTTGGGCCGTCCTCTGCTGCTTTCCCAGGCCACAAGCAGGGAGCTGGATGGGAAGTGGAGCAGCTGGGATTAGAACTGGCACCCATATGGGATCCCTGGCACATGCAAAATGAGGACTTTTAGGCATTAGGCTATTGTGCCAGGCCCTGAATGTGTAACTTCTATAAAGAAAATTACAAAAAAAAAATTCCCAAACAGAAGAAGATTACAAATTATATATACAATTTATATATATATATATAGAGAGAGAGAGAGGGAAAATTTTCAATTAGCCCAGGAGTCTACTTAATTTATAAATAGGTGGGAGTTCAGATAAACATCTGATTTCCTTTAAAACATAACCTGATAGCTTGTCTATAGCATATCTAAAATGCTGATCCTGTGGGCATGGCAATGGCAAATAAAGTCAGTAAAGGAATAATAATGGGATCTTGGAATTGTTAGATATTAAAATGTGAAATCACAAGAAGTTAACAACAACAAAAAATCACAATAAGTTGAATGGAGAAGAGTATTGACAAATCTGTAAAACAGAATTCAATGGCTAAAAGCAAAGCCATGCACATTAAAAAACAAAGTGGAATAAATGTTATATTTCAGATACATGGTAAGAGAACCATAGTTCATGAACTTGAGTAGTTATTAACTGGAAAGAAGCAAGCTTGTAACTAATACAGTATAATATAGTTCATTAAAGTACTTATTTTTAAAAGTCTATAAAATATTAGAAAAATTTATCTGATTTCTTGCTGGGAAAATATGTAAATATATATGTGTGTAGATACATATTTTATGCATAAAACAGCTAGAAACTTATTAACATGCTTAGTTGCATAAACTTCACTCCTTCCTTCTTGTTGGTGTTTTTCAAATAAGATTAAAAAAATTAAAGCTTTAAAAATGCTCATGTCTTTTGGTTTAAGAATTCCACTTGTATGAGATCATCCTAAGGAACCAATTAAATGTAGCCTGCTCCTGATGCATGTTTTTGGAGTGTTAGCCTGTGGAAGGGGGTGTGTCTATGGCTCACTGTCTCCAAAATAAATAAAAATCAAGAAAATTATGTTGAAGACGACAAGAAAAAAACCTCATTACTGCTTCTAAGTAATGATAGTGAAGATAACTTTTTTTTTTTTTTTGGCAATTTAGAAAATGTTTAAATGGTGATGTAAGATTTCAGTAGAAACCTCAGGGCCTGGCATGGTTGCCTAGTGGCTGAAGTCCTCGCCTTGCATGCACCAGTATCAAAATAAATAGATCTTTAAAAATAAATAAACAGCAACCTGAAAATTTCCCCCCATTTTATTTGAAAGGCATAGAGACATAGTCTGTACTCTGAGTTTGCAAATGCAACAGCCAGGGCTAGGCCAGATGAAAGCCAGGATCTTGAAACTTACTCCAGGTCTCATAGATAACAGGAAACCAAGTTTTGGGGCCATTATTGCTGCCTCCCAGGCTGTGCACATCAACGGGATACTGGATCAGAAGCAGGTTAGCGGTAACTCAGCCAGTCATTCTGATATGAGATGCTGCTGTCTAAATATTATGTCAAATACCCACCTCTCAAGTGTTAAAAATACTGCCTGTAGCCAGGAGATAGAGCTGCCAATACCCGCAACACTCTCATCCCATATGGATGTGAGTTTGTGTCCAGGCTGCTCCACCTCCAATGCAGCTCCCTGCTAATGGGCTGGGAACAGCAGCAGATGGCCCCAGTGTTTGAGCCCCTGACACTTACATTGGCCTGGTGGTTCTTGCAGCCATCTGGGGAGCAAACCAGTGGATGTAAGAATGCGTGTGTGTGTGTGTGTGTGTGTGTGCGCGCGCGCGCGCATGTGCGTCCCTCTCTATAACTCTTTGAAAAAGTAAATATTTAAAAATAAAAATATCACTGATTGAGTTGGCATTAGTTGCTTTGGGAACACTTACAGAGGAAAGTGAGTGGCACAGATGCACAGTTGCAGTGGGCAGGAAGGCAGCCCAGTCCCTATCCCGTCCACCAGGTGGCGTTGTGTGTCGGAATACTGCCTGCCTGACTGCAGTGCCGCCAGACTGTGGCAGTATAAAGCCATACAGAAAGCCGAGAACGGCCTAAGCTGTTGGGATGGCGAAGGCTCTTTGTTTTTTTTACTTTAGGAAAGCTTTGTTTGAAAAAGGAAGAAATTAATGAAGTAGAAAGAGGAAAGTCGCAGTTTTACTTCAGAGGAAATGGGCAGAAATGAAGCAGAATGTGAAGAGATTGTATCCTTAGAACAATCTATGGATTTATTTTTGTAAAAGGGGGATTTCTTAATTTAAATCTGCAGAGTAGGTTGGAGGCCACCTATACTGGCATTTAGACTCAAGAAATCTAGGCTGCAGTGGTATATTAATAGGTTCAGAGAACTCATTCGTTGCTTTGTGTCATTGCTATGAAAAGAAAATTTTTAAATGAAATTCTAGTACTTAAAGATGATTTAATATTGCCTTTTTGTTTTCAAATAGCTGTCACAGGAGGTATTTTCAGAATAAACTTAGGTCTGCGAGGCCTGGTGGCTGGTGGCGTAATTGGAGCCTTGCTGGGGTAAGCATTAGCGTGGCTTGTTTTCGTCCATAGCTTGCCAGTTAAAAAACATTCGTTTCTGAAGAACACATTTAATCCTTAGAGCTTATAAAAGACCTCTGATCTTATAATGGCAGTAGCTTTGACTGTCCAGTTTCAATCCCATCCCAATTATTTCCTCATACTTTTTCCTTAATGTTTTCACAGTAAATAATTTAAGTTAAAATTAGAGACACTATTCAACAGTTTTTTGTTTTGTTTTGTTTTGGTTTTTTTACAAAATTTTATTTAGTTTCATTTTATTTGAAAAGCAGAGACAGAGTGAGAGAAGAAGACAGAGAGATCTTCCATTCATCTCTCTGTTTACTCTCCAAATGCCCATGACAGCTGGGACTAGATCAGGCTGAAGACAGGAGCCTGGAGCTCAGGCTGGGCCTTGCATATTGGGTCACTGGGAATCAAGTACATGATCCATCTCAGGGTGTACGTGAAGCAGTGAACTAAGTGGAAAGCTGAGCAGCTGGGGTGCCAACCACACACTCTTGATACAGAGTGTAGGCATCCCAATTAGCGACTTCACTACTTATCTAGTGCCTGCTCTGAGAGATGCTTTTTTTTTTTTTTTTTTAAGATTTATTTATTGGAAAGGCAGATTTACAGAGAGAAGGCGAGACTGAGAGAAGGCTCTTCCATCCACTGGTTCACTCCCCAAATTGCTACAGTGGCTGGAGCTGAGCCTGTCTGAAGCTGGGAGCCACTTCTGGGTCTCCCACGCAGGTGCAGAGTCCCAGGGACTTGGGCCGTCCTCTGCTGATTTCCCAGACAATAAGCAGGGAGCTGAACGGTGAATGGAGCACATTATTTAAACATTTTCGTGACATTTTATTTGTTTAGCTTAATAAACTCCTTATTTGTCACAGCAGTACCCAGAGTGTTTTTCGGTGTTGTTTGGTCTTTCCCTTATATTTAGATATAGGTTAAATATCTCTGACAGAGATAAACTGTCAGTTAAGCTGTCAGATAAACTGAGATTATGCTCTCGGTTTATAGACAGAGACATGACACTGTGAGGGACATTAACTTTTAATCCCACCTACACCTCCTGCAGGGGTGGCAGAGACTTGACCTCTCACCTTTTGCCTCCCAGGATGTGCATGAACAGGAAGCTGCCTGGCAAGAGCAAGAGCCAGGACTTGAACCTGGCACACCAGGATGAGGTTCAGGAATACCAAATAGCGACTTAACCACTGCATTTAATGGCTGCCTTGATCTAATGGTTTTAATGATCTATTGATAATCCATGCTGTAATTAATTATTATGTGGTTGGAAAGTTATGGTCTTCCAGTTCTGGCAGATCTCTCTGTCTCTCCTTCTCTCTGTAAATCTTCCTTTCCAATAAAAACAAATAATTCCTTAAGAAGAAAGAAAAGATTTGTTGGAGTGGCAAAGCGACTGAGGGAGAGAGGGATGGAGAGACAGAGAGTGAGTGATATAGGATGCCACCAACACAAGTGCAGCTTAACCTACTGCGTAACAATACCAGCCCCCCAAAATAGTTTTTAAAAATTAGTTACTTAAGTTCCAGCCAAAGAAAATTTAAGTATACCATGATAAGAAACTCCTTTTGAGAACACCAGAACCAAACCCACGTAATTGCTATAACCATTTTTTTTTAAAGATCTTCCATCTGCTGGTCCACTCCCCAACCGGCTGCAACAGCTAGAGCTGAGTTGATCCAAAGCCAGGAGCTGGGAGCTTCTTCCAGGTTTCCCATGCAGGTGCAGGGTCCCAAGACTTTGGGCCATCCTTGACTGCTTTCCCAAGCCACAAGCAGGAAGCTGGATGGGAAGTGGAGCAGCCAGGACACAAACCAGTGCCCTGTGGGATCCAGTGCATGCAAGGCAAGGATTTAGCCACTCTGCTGTCACGCTGGGCCCCATCACTGTAATCATTACCTGATCAGTCAGTCTCTCAGTGGGGAACTGTTGGTGTTATGAGTTATTGGATGTGCCAGATTCTTGAGTTTCAGGACGTTTGGGTGGCTGTATCCCAAAAAAACAGTAGGATGCCTTGTCTAACCATAAATGTCTTTCACATTTCCTGTGCCTCTCAAGGGCTTAATACTGTTCTGACCTAGTTCTTTCATTTCTGAGAAAATGTCAGGAGGGAGTTACTTACTAGAACTCATCATAAATATGTACATATTTTCCCTCTTGGTCATAGTTTCTGATTTATTATTTAAAAAGCAGAGCTGGGCCAGCACCATGGCTCAACAGGCTAATCCTTCACCTATACACCAGCGTCCCATATGGACATTGGTTCATGTGCTAGCTGCTCCACTTCCCATCCAGCTCCCTGCTGGGCACAGCCTAGGAAGAACGACCTGAGAAAAAATGGCCCAGGAAAGCAGTAGAGGATTGATCAGATAGTTGGGACCTTGCACACCCACATGAGAGACGAGGAAGAAGCTTCCGGTTCCTGGCTTCAGCTCAGCTCAGCTCTGACCATTGTTGCCTTTTGGGGAGTGAACCCGCATATGGAAGAACTCTCTGTCTCTCTTTCTCTCTGTAAATCTGCCTTTCTAATAAGAATAAATAAATATTGTTTAGAAATAAAAACCAGGATCAATTATAGATCTATTGCTTTTATACTTCAGGATGTTGTATTGATTGTTTTTCTATGTTGTTCAGATGAGGAAAAAAATTACCTCAATCTGTTTTTCCTTTCTCTGTAAGAACTCTGTGACATTCCTCCACAGGACTGAGGAGCATTTTGTGAAGCAGGGAGCAGTGGGCAGGTGGTATAGCATCTGCATTAGCAGAGATGCTCACCGGTTGCCTGGTCTGATGATTTTTGCCCCTAAGCTTTCTCTCTGCTTTCACTTTAGCACCCCTCTCGGAGGGCTGGTAGTGCTACTTCAGAAGTACTGTGGTGAGACTCTTCAGGAGAGGAAACAGAAGGACCGGCAGGCACTCCATGACCTCCAGCTGGAAGAGTGGTAAGCGGCGTGTTAGATTATGGGCTGGCCCTGCTGCAGGCCCTGCGTCCTGGTGCTTGGTTAACCCGAGTCCTCTGAGCCATGATACGGTCAGAGAAGAGTTTTTTTTTTTTTAAGGCGGAGCTTCAACACATATTCTACATGGTCTTTTAAGTAAGGAAAATGGGAACATGAAGTAAACTGATTTTTAATTTGATGAGGACCTGTCTTTACTTTAAAAAAAAAAAAGTTGAAATGTTTATTAACGTCACCGGGTGCATATTCTATTTTTCTTTGTTTTTTCTTTTTGCTTATCCAATACTCTTGATGGCATGGGAAAGCTACCTGTAGGTAATGCACATCAGAGAATGGGCTTTATTTAAAGGGTGGTTCTCAGTTTGATGCACACATCTGTAACTGATACAGAGCATGTGAAATCTGCCCAGTCAGAGGATCTGCTGCTTGCTGTAGAAGCAGAGGGGTTAAGTAGACACAGTGACTGCTCGCAGACTGGATGCCGCAGAGGAGCATTGGTCAGTCTTGGGGTGGGGTAGTCAGACTGATAGCAGACTGCACCTTCTGGGTAAGATCAGCATAACAGGCTGCTGCTGTCTTGTGCTCCCGAGGACACATGATTCTCACGGTTCAGTTTCCTGGGTACGTGAGGTGACAGCTGCCGTGGCTGCTGCTGTTTTGGTAATTGGGTAGCTGAACAATCATTTTTTCCGATGATTTTATTTGAAATCTCCTCTCTTACTAAATCGCACACAGAAAATTTCTTTAATATCTGTGGGTCTGTTATCCAAAGTCTTAGGTGCTACAGGTGAAAAGGCATGGATTTTAGAACCAATGAAACGTTGAGAAGTGGATTTAAGCCTCATGTAGACTGCCAGTTGGTTCTGTGACCCTTAGCTGTTTTTCCTTGTTTTCAGGCCCTCAGTTTATTTAGTTGTTTTAGGGGTAGAATCATACCACATTGCTCAGTGGTGTGCTCGTTGCATTCCTTCTTCATGGGAGGAGAGCAGGTGGGCATGTAGTGTTTTGGATTCCAGCATGAAGAACTTACAGTTCTGAATGCCAGCATAAAATATGATATGGAGAATTATAAGCATGAAAACATTAGCACATTAGCTTATTATAACTAGATGTCATAAGAGACTCCTTTTTGAAAAGGAGGAAAGATTAGACATAGGATATTATGAAAGAATAGACTTTGCAAAAATATAAACAAATAATAACTGCATTCCAATTAAAAAAATGGAAATTAAGAAAAGTATAGATGTCGACCATTGACTTACCAATAGAAAAGGTTAAAAATGGTGAGGGGGAATGATAACTTGAATTACACTATTGAAAGGATACTTTGGCAGGAAGATCATGTTAAGAATTACAATGCATATATATGTGTGTGTGTGTGTATGTATATAAGAAAAGCTAAGTCAATAAATATTTAAGTACCTTCTTTGTATCTCTTCTTTGTATCTGCTTCTTTGCTTGAAAATGACGTAATGAAATAAAACAATCCGAGTCTTAAAAATTGCCTCAACAGAAAATGGAGAAAGCTGGCAGCTGGCTGTAGATACATAGCAGAAATGGTGTAATCTGTTTGAATTAAGGAGAAAAGATGACCTTGAAGATGACATAAGAAAAGAAAGACTCAAATACTTGATTTAGAAAATAAACTGAGCTGTTACTTGGAAATTAGATGTTACTGTGTCATAAACACAGATCCATGGTGTTGTTCAGTCAGGCTTTTGGATACCACTGAAGCCTTCATTGATTCCTGCAAGATCAGTGACAGAGCTGAACAAAGTAGCCAGGTGGTCAGCTGTCCCCAGTCCTGAGGGCAAGAGGACAGTCAGGTGGTGAGACTCACCTTAGTGCAGGTGTGCCAGCCCCCACACATCACCTCTGCGAACCCAGAGACCCATTCTCCTGCAGTGTCCTTTTTAATTGTATGTATTTGTGGAATACTAAGTGATATTTCGTGTATACATTGCATAAGGTCCAATTGAGGTAAATATGTTTATCTTTTCAAGCATTTGATATTTCATCCCAAATCCTATCTTCTTTACATAGTGTATACATGTCCAGTACATTACCATTATCTGTCATCACCCTACCATGCCAGAAAGTCTTTTATCTAACTATAACCTAGTACATGTTAATCTGTTCTCATTCCTTCCAACCCACTTCCCTCCTCAGCCTCTGATAACCATCACTATATAAAGAGCTCATCTGGCATCACATGATTTTTAGACTATATGTGAATAAGATTGCATGATATTTGTCTTTTTGTGCCGGCTTAATTCACTTATCGTAATAGCCCTCCTCTTCCATCTATGTTATTGGATGTGACAAGATTTTGCTCTTTTTTAAGGCTGGTAACATTCCATTGTGTTTATGGACTGCATTTTCTTTATTCTGAACACATCGTGGATCAGCGATGCTGCCAAGAGAGTGTCCACTTTGGTAATGTAGGAATCATATTAGCTTGTGAGTGGGACAGGTTAGGAGAGAGAGAGGAAATTTAGCTACATTTCAAGTGCAAGGAAAGGGCTTATCCTCATAACCCCAGAGAAGGTAGCACAAACATCATCTTTTGTTTTAAATCTCTGAAAATTTAGGGGAAAAAAAAAGCAGCAGACTGACACTTGCTACATTCTTTGTGTTCTTTGATTACAGGAAAGCCAGACTACAAGTTACTGAGATCCTTCCCAAGGAAATTGAAAGTAGCTTACACAGCAGTCAAACTGAGGATGATGCTAAGAAAATTGAAGCTCTGCTAAACCTTCCTAGGAACCCTTCATCAAAAGATAAAGAAGACAGAGACTGAGAGGGCGCTGGGCTTGAAGTGCACTGTGGAATTACAGGAGCTGTGTGGCCGTGCCCATTGAAAACCAGGAGGCCTCCTGTGGTAGCAGTGACCCGCACTTATCATTGTTAAATACACTTTTTTCTTAAACCAATTCTTGGTACAATAGTACTCTCACTTATCCCTAAATTTAAATACATACATTTTGATCTGTTGATAGGCCTATATACAAAAATGTCCATTCCCTTTATGATACAGAAGTAAAATAAAACATTTCCCAAAAGATGGAAGTATATACAGGCTGTGTATTTGTTCATGTAGTTCTTTAAAAAGCTGCTGCAGGAATCTCTGGGAGGAGAGGAAAGAGCCGGGTAAGGCAGATGGACTGTGAGGCCTCCATGCCCTTGGATCCCGTGAGCACGTAGTGTTCAGTTTTACTTTCACAAGAATCAAAGATGACTCCTGTACCACTTGAAATAAAATATGGCTCTAACAAAGTAAGCCACTGGCAGGAAAGAAACAACCGAATTTTGTTTTCTTATCTCTTATTGGTGTGACAGGTTGTACTATAGTATCCAGGGGCCTCCATGCCCTTGGATCCCGTGAGCACGTAGTGTTCAGTTTTACTTTCACAAGAATCAAAGATGACTCCTGTACCACTTGAAATAAAATATGGCTCTAACAAAGTAAGCCACTGGCAGGAAAGAAACAACCGAATTTTGTTTTCTTATCTCTTATTGGTGTGACAGGTTGTACTATAGTATCCAGGAATTATCTAGAAAAGCCACCTATGCTGTGGAACCTGCTGCCTCAGAAGGAAGCTGTCTTGAAGGTTTTTAGGTTGTCGTAGATGAGAAGAAAACAAGTTACTGAATTAAGTCCTATTAAAGCAGTGTTGCTTTTTTTCCCCCTAAGGTTTATTTTTATTGGAAAAGCAGATTTCCATAGAGAGAGACAAAGGTCTTACATCCACTGGTTCTCCCCAAATGGCTACAATGACAAGCTGAGCTGATCTGAAGCCAGGAGCCAGAAACTTCCTCCTGGTCTCCCATGTGGGCACAGGGTCTCAAGGACCTAGCTCTTTTCTCTGCTGCTTTCCCAGGCCACAAATGGGAAGCTGGATGAAAGGTGGAGCAACCAGGACACTAACTAGCATGCATATGGGATGCCAACACTTGTAGGTGGAGGAATAGGCTATCGATCCATTGACCTGGCCTTAACAGTGTCACTTTCCATGGCAAGGGAACCGTAGTGCTCTGTTGTTTGAAGGTACTAAATGGAAAATCCCCAGGAACAAACAACTCAGAAGGGTTAGGTAGCGTGCTTTAACGAGTAGTGTGGGTGAAGTAGTGTGCTTGGGCTGGGAAGCAGTGCTTTCTCCAGTGTATCCATTTTCTGAACCCTCACCCCTCCTCCCCCGCCCCAATCACTCAGTGGCTGTCTCAGCAGATCAGCTGTCACAGTGTCACAGTACTTGTGATCAGGTAGTCCATGTTGTCTTGATAGCAACACAAGTGACAGCAGTAGAGATGCTGACAATATGGTGTGGCAAAGAGACAGAGTGCATCTTTTCAGTGGAATGGTGTAGGGTACTTCAGACGGTTCATGGAAGTAGAATTAAAAGGTAAGTTATTTGGGTGTAAGAAATTTGCAGGGTTTTTTTTTTTTTTTGTCTAATATGTGTTTTCAACGAACTTTTTGAAGAACCCTTGTAATAAGACTACTCCCCATGGTTCAGACATTGACTGAGCATCCAAGAATGGATTCTTGGTGGCTACTGCAGTGAGAGAAAAGCTGCTAGTATTTTATTTTGTTCTTACTCTGAGAATATTGTTCACAGGAGCAAGGCTTATGAGGCAGCTCAGTGTGGTAGCCTAAGACATGGGCTCCAGGGGCAGACCAAAAAAAGTAGTGTCTGCTTCAGAATGCGTATTAAATGAAACACTCCATGTAAGGCGGTTGGCCCTGAGCACTGCGTAATAATAAACAGCAGTTACAAAAGTCTGAGCTTCTGCACAGTGGGCTGGCTCCGTGATTTACATGTGTTACCACCACACTTCACAGGCGTGTTTGTTCAAGCAGACCATTCACAAATTGCTGATAAAATCACAATCCGTTCAGTTTTGTATTCACATTCACATAGAAGGGAAATCTTTCCACCACAAATTATAAAACTGGAGAGATGTTTTTAGAAATAATTTTATTCATGTCACAAACATATTAGTAATAAAGGTAAGGTGTAATTGAAAAACACCTTTATTGAATGTAATAACTTAATATAATTTATTTGATATTACAGTTCCCTCAGTTGATCCTAATTCATGTTTCTGAGGTCTCATTACGTCTAAATGTTCTGTTCTTGTGTCTTTACTGCTAAGTCCTTGTCAGTCTACTCCCTTTATTTCCTTCAGAGATCTAGTTTTGAGAGCACCCGTTGAAAAAGTGTTGCTGTGTTTCTGATGTTATGTAGTAGCATCTGGTCTGTTTTTAGCTACCAAAATTAAACGGTTTCAGCTCAGCCTCAGTTGTGAAACTCCATCATCTCTTGCTATCCGGTTCTACATTTTCAGATAACATGTGATTTCCCCAATTTGAGTTGGGTCCATGGGTGGTATGTTGGGTCATGAAAGGCATTTTCAGAGAAAGAGGAGTCAGGAGTAACAAGTGGTCACCGCAGATGACCACTCCTTTGTCTCTGTTGACGTCAAGCATCCAGAACTAGGAAGGAGGAAAAGCAACTTGCAGGATCTGAGGGAGCACTCAGTACATTTTTATCCCTTCTGTCATTTTCTCTGAAGGTAGCTTACTGCTTAGTACATATGCAGTTAAAAAAAAACACACCTCATTTTGAATGAGAACTTTTTCATAAATATTTTACAAGTTAGCTCAAAACTAGCATAAAGCCATTTAAAGAGAGTATCAGTCCAATATGAACCAGTAGATTGTACGTTTTCAGACTGTTCCTCTCCATCCTGTTACTCAGGTATGAGAGGATATTCATCTTATATGTCCAAGAAAATCCTGTATGGAGAGTCCTACTTGAGCCTGAACTTGGATGGGAAGTGGGAGAACAACAGAGAACACAATGAGGCCAGTGGTACTTCCACTGTCCTCATTTAGAGATAGATATCAAAATGTTTTCCTGAAGGTTGCATTCAACTGTTAAGAAAAAAACCAACATTAAATCTTTCTCTGGTTTTGCATCAGGAAATCAGGCCTGGTTGTGCATGGATTCTGTTAGGAGATGCACTTCACTGACATGTATATATATATGTGTACAAAGCACTCTTTCTGTCCTCAGCTCAAACAGATGAAAGAGCACCAGAACAAGGAGCTCTGACCTTGAGAGTTCCATTCCCCTCCCTGAGTCACAGCATCCTTGTCATTACTGAGACTAAGTATCCTCTAACTTCCCCTTCTGGGTCTAAAGAATCCTTTTGTTTCTTAGTCCCGTGTTCAGGTTCAGGGTCGCCAGAGCTACTTCTGTGCTCACAATATTCCTCTAGACACTTTTCTACAGAGTCTCTGAAGGAAAGCTCCATGAAGGGCAAGGCAGCAGTCCTGGCCATCTGATGAAGTCCTTGGAAGAGGTCAGTTGCAAATGGAGGTGGGACCTGAGGAAACAAATGAATAAAAACTTTTTAAAGTTTTAAACTTTATCTCAGGGTCAAAAGATATTCCCAATGTGGGGTAACTCAGTAGGCATTTATCTTGATAACTAAAGGATATGAAGGGGGAGCTGTATTGGGTAAAAACTTAGAACTGGTCTGGTGATTTTTTACTACATAAAGTATGCATCAGGCAAATAATTGAACACCACCTGATGCCTAGAAGTCTTCTGTGTGTGTGGCCAACAGAGAAGAAAACTGCTCTCCTCAATAAGTTTACAGTCTGGAAAATGATACAGTACATGACCTGTGGAAAACCCAGGGTGTATGTGACGTGCCATACACAAGTCCAGCGGTGCACCTGCTCGAACTGCACAAGAGGGCTACAAGAGACTTGGCATAGAATACTATATTCATGGCTTCATTGTGAAGTTGGAGTAGATGATCAGAGACTTTTAGAGGGGAAATCCTAGATAATTGCACAACTTGAAGATAAACATTTTAACAGCTGTTGTAACAGCTTGAGGAGTGAACAGTAAACTGAAATGAAACAAGGTAGGAAATTGGGGCTGCGCTGGGAAAGACTTAAGAACACACACTGATGAACAGAGCTTGAGCTTGATGTTCAGTTTGAGTTGTTTTTGCTGCTTAAACATACGACTTCAGGCACATCATTCAAACACTGGGAGCCCCAGATTTCCCAGCTACTAAATTTAGATAGAACTTGCTCATAAGAGAATTTTTTTTTCTTTCTAAAGATTTATTGTTTTTTCTTGGAAAGGCAGATATACAGAATCTAAGCCGATTTGAAACTAGGAGTCAGGAGCCTCTTCTGGGTCTCCCACATGGGTACAGCGTCCCCAAGCTTTGGGCCGTCCTCGATTGCTTTCCCAGGCCATAGGCAGGGAGCTGGATGGGAAGTGGGGCTGCCGGGACTAGAACCAGTGCCCATATGGGATCTTGGAGCATGTAAGGACTTTAGTCACTAAGCTACCATGCCAGGCCCAAGAAGAATTATTTTTAATGACTCAGACGAAATACTACTTTTGCAAGACAATAGGCTGTTATATAAAACTCAGGTGTTATTTTTCTTTTTCCTTTTTTTCAGAAAAAAAAAAAAGATTTATTTGAAAGAGAGACACTGAAAGAGCAAGCCTCTGTTCACAGATTGACTTTCATAGGTGGCCCCAACAGCTGGGACTGGGCCAGGCTTAAGCCAGGAGCCTCAGCTGGGTTTCTGACATGAGTGGCAGGAGCCCAAACACTGAGGCATCTTCTACTGCAGGAAGCTGCAAAGGAAGTGGAACAATCGGAATGCAAGCCAGTGCACCTGCAGCGGCTTTACCTGCTACACCATAGCACCATTCCCCTCTTTTTTTTCCCAAAAGATTATTTTTACTGGAAAGGTAGATGAGATTTATGGAGAGAAGGAAAGACAGATCTTCCATCCACTGGCTCATTCCACAAATGGCTGCAACAGCTGAAGCTGAGCTAATCAGGAGCCAGAATCCTTTGGGACTCCCACCTAGGTGCAGGGTCCCAAAGTTGGGACCATCCTCCTGCTCTCCTGGGCCATAAGCAAGGAGCTGAATGGGAAGTGGAGCAGTTGGAACATGGGCCGATATCCACATGAGATCATGGTGCTTGCAAGGTGAGAATTTAGCCATTGCACCAGGTGTCTCCATTTATTTTTTATTATTTTTTTTTTTAAAGATTTATTTTTATTATTTTTTGATTGGAAAGGCAGATATACAGAGAGGAGAGACAGAGAGGAAGATCTTCCGTCCGATGATTCACTCCCCAAGTGAGCGCAACGGGCCGATACTATGCCGATCCGAAGCCAGGAGCCTCTTCCGGGTCTCCCACGCGGGTGCAGGGTCCCAAAGCTTTGGGCCGTCCTCTGCTGCTTTCCCAGGCCACAGGCAGGGAGCTGGAAGGGAAGCGGGGCTGCCGGGATTAGAACCGGCGCCCATATGGGATCCCGGGCGGCAAGGTGAGGACCTTTAACCACTTGCGCCACCGCGCCGGGCCCTCCATTTATTTTTTTAAAAGATTTATTTATTTTTATTGGAAAGCTAGATATAGAGAGGAGGAGAGACAGGAAGATCTTCCATCTGATGATTCACTCCCCAAGTGACTGCAATGCCTGGAGCTGAGCTGATCCAAAGCCAGGAGGCAGGAGCTTCTTCCGGGTCTCCCTTGTGTGTGCAGGGTCCCAAGGCTTTGGGCTGTCCTCAACTGCAGTCCCAGGCCACAAACAGGGAGCTGGATGGAAAGCAGGGCTGCCGGGATTAGAACTGGCGCTCACATGGGATCCTGGCATGTTCAAGGTGAGGACTTTAGCTGCTAGGCCACCGTGCTGGGCCCTCCTCCATTTATTTTTAAAGAGAGGTCTATAGACTCTCATTTCTTATGTCTGGGTTACCTTGATCTTATAGTAAATCAAAGTTAAAATATTCCTGGAGGCTGTAACTATCTTCAGTCCTTAGATTGCAACATTCCAATGCTTCACTTCCGGGAGCAGGCTTGGGGACTTGAGAAGAACAGATATCTGAGTTAACAGCATGAGTGCTGCACAAGTACATGCTGTATCCAGAGCCAGAAATAATTAAGTCTAAAGCTTTGGACTCCTTTCACTGGCTTCTATTGTGTTCAAATGAGGCATCTAGAAACAATGCCACTTGAAGAACAATGGACAGAACTGAGGATGTTGGACTAAGGATATCTGCTGGGGTCCGTGTGGTAGGTGTGGATGGCACGAAGGTGTGAAGAGAACAGCTCTCCTGCTTGGCAGGGCCCGGGGGAGCTTCCAGCTGTTTGGCAGGGCCCAGCGGATTTCTCTCTGACCACCCTGACGCTGTTTCACCCCCTGGCTGCGTGGACACTCAAGCACCCCACTAAGAATTCTGTAATCTATTGAGGCATTGTTTGCCACTGATGTGAGCTTGAAAGTTAATGTCACTGATAATGTCTTGGTGAGTGAGCCTTTGACAGTTTACACACAGGAGCACAATTAAGTCCATGCCATTTCTGGACACCTTATTGTGTACCTACCCATTGCCCTGAAATTGGGCCCAGACATATACCATGTCTTCTGGGAAATGGCTTAATAAGAATTTTACAAAGTAATAGAAGTGATGGGAGTGAGAGCTGAAACTGCTATGGCAATAAATATAGCTATTGTTATCTCAAAGGCTAGCTTGTCTTTGCAATTTTTAGGAGTGTAGGAAATGTAATTTTTTTAGCTGCTTTTATAATTTTTAGCTAGAGGAATTAAGGATGTTTTATTAAAGAAAAATGCTTTTGATTACTGCTTTATTGTTTATTGGGTTGTAGGGGTCTATAGTTGTAGAGCGATTTAACATTTGAAGTTTCTGTTTTAGATTTTTTTTTCCCTTATAACCTATTTTCCCATTAAATGATGGGTAAATTGTAGAAGTAGAAATGTGGTGGGAAAGTACTACTGATTAGCAGGTAATCTCACGTGCCTTGGCCTTGGAGTCCTGGCTGTTGCTCCATGGCTGCTGTTGAAGAATAAATAATGGCTTGCTTTGAAGAATATGAATACAGTATTTTGCAAAAATTATCTTTAGAAGCACCTGTTTAGCCTTGAAGTGCAGACGGAGTGACCAAATGTCTGTACATGCCCCCTTAATTTTGAAAAGAAAAAAAATAGAATAGTTGCTTGTGCAGAAGGGCGCCCGAACAGGGACTTGAACCCTGGACCCTCAGATCCAGGGTTGAGAAGGGTTTTGAGTAAATAAAAAGGACAGCTTTTTCCTGAACTGTTGTGAGAACGCACCAAGTGTCTGTGTCTTTCTTTATCACCGACTCCACGCACCCTTCCCGAGCTCCGAACTCAGCTGGAGCTGGACTCCGGCAGATATCAGTGAAAAGTTATGATTTTACTATAGGCACTGGTGTCTCTGCCAGGTGTTTGGGAAAATGATGTGACAGAGCCACTCTTCATGACTTTGCCTCTCTAGGATAAGTGTCAGTTAACAGGCCAAGAAACCAATGAGAATGTTACTGTGTTAATACAAACTGCCCCCAATCTGTATCCATTAGGCCCGAGAGAGACACAGGGATGAGAAGGAGCTGGCAGGATACTACCTCAGTGCAAAGCAGTGCTTTACAAATAAGGGAAGGCGTTGAGCTGGCTGATGTGAGGGGAACATTGTAGAAGGCAGAATGACACAGCCAAAGCTAAGGCTGTGTAAGCAAGTTATGTGGGGGAGAAAGGAGAGGAGTGCCGGAGGTTGAGAAGGTGGGGTAGTAGGGAAGACTGAGTTTGGTACTGAGAAGAAAGGCTCAGCATCATGTTCACAGCATCCCGTGTAACCTGCATTTGTAAAGGGGAGCTCAAAGGGTTACCTTCAGCTCTTTGGCTCAGCCTGAGGCTTGTGCAGCTCCTATGTAGATGGGGGACAGCCTTTGTGTTTCCCCGGTTTCCTCATTCTTTCTTGTTCTTTCCCGCCTTGGAACTAGTCCTTGGAGACAAGCACAGACAAAAAGAGTGATTGATGAGTTCCTGTCAAATTGTGCCTGTGTGTTTCAACAATCCTTCAGACTGGCTTAAATCCAGAGCAGTGTTTCTTAACCCAATGAGTGTCCAAACCTCTGCCCCCACCCCTAACACACACACACACACACACACACACACACACACACACACACACACACACACACTATTTGACAATGTTTGGAGACATTTTTGGTGATCACTATTGGGGTCAAGGGTGCTAGTGACGGTACACTCCAGGGAAATTTTTAATTTCCTAAAATACACAGGACAGCACTGCGAAGCAAAAACTTAGCTGGCCCCAAATGTCAATAGGAACAGTGCTGGAGATAGGAAACCATGAACTGGAGCAGTAAGGCTGGTAGTCTGTACTAGAAACATTCCTGAGCCCATCAGAACCCCCGTCCCACCCTAGAATGAGTTGTTCTTTGCCTCAGTGTTCCCAAGCAAATATAAAGGGAAAATGAAGAGCTAAATGAGAAGGTGTCCTGAGAATATTGACTTCTTGTCTTTGTAACACCAGTGCCCAACAGGGAACCAGGCACACAGTAGATACCTAAGAAATGTTTGTCTAGCAAAGGAACTGCACTTGCTGCACAAGTCATGAAGACACTAAGGTTTCCTTAGTGTTGCTACAAATCCGAGAAAAGGCTTAAATCGCAGAGGTGCTGGCGCACACTGATAGGGTTCGGCCTTCTAGGAAGGGAGGAGATGTTCACATGTACACTTACTGTAGATCAGGAAGATGATTACTGCAGCAATGAAAACCATGCTTCCCAGGATAATGGTCCACAGTGGATACTCATGAACGGGCGGCTGTGGCTTCGCTGTGGAGGGCAAAGAAAGAAGTCAGCTGCTTGATTGCCACTCTGCCTCTTGCAAATGCAATTCTCTGCCCAGTCAGCTCCTCCATACACAGCTGCTAGCACTTTTCTTCCATAATTCCTTAGTCAGACACATCCTTCTGGTTAATTTATAGTCAGCTGTCACATATTGAATATGAGAAAGACAATTCAAACTTGTGCATTTACTGAGTTAGGATAGCATAAGAAAGACATTCTAGGGCCCAGCGTGATAGCCTAGTGGCTAAAGTCCTTGCCTTGAACGCGCCAGGATCCCATATGGGCGCTGGTTCCTATCCTGGCTGTTCCAATTCCCATTTAGTCCCCTGCTTGTGGCCTGGGAAAGCAGTTGAGGACGGCCCAAAGCCTTGGGACCCTGCACCACGTAGGAGACGTGGAAGAGGCTCCTGGCTTCAGATTGGCTCAGCTCCAGCCATTGCAGCCATTTGGGGAGTGAATCAGCAGAAGGAAGATCTTCTGTCTCTCCTTCTCTGTATATCTGCCTCTCCAATAAAAATAAATAAATCTTTAAAAAAAGATATTCTAAGGAGATATTTAAAAACTGATCTTGTCTTCATATCTCCTAGCAGATATTACTATGAATTACTACGAGTGATTGTTTGATGGCATGGCTTAGATGTGCCTTATTTTCCATTGTCTAGCTGTCATGCTTTCTACCTTTCTCTTGGCATGTTCTCTCTTTCTTTCTCTCTCTCTCTCTCTCTCTCTCTCTCTCTCTCTCTCTCCATAGTAGCTGCCAAAAGGTAGAAGGGCCATCTTTCAATCATTTTCAGATATACTTCTAAGACCACCACAGTCTTACAGTTTCTGGAGGGATTTTTTAAAAAAGGCCCTGTGAGAAGAGTGGATGTGGCTCACATTGAGTAGCAGCATCTTGGAAGAGAGCTCAGCAGATCAGCTCTGAGCCACAGTTCCAGTTCCACACACAAAAAGTGTGTGTGTCGGCCGGGGGGCAGGGGGAATGCAGCAAAGGACCTGGTTGGGAGGAAGATGTTAGCTTATGTGGTACTTCCACCATTGCTCCTTATCAGGAGCAGCAGATAAACTAAGCAACAACATCTGGGGAAAGGGAAGGGACAGGAATCGAATGGACCGCCAGCAGCTCCTCCTCCTCTGATTCTCTGCAGTGGCTTACGGATAAGCATGGACATTTACCAGCCTGTGTCTCAGTTGAAACCTGCCCCTCCTGTGACTTCTGTGACACCACAACCTTCCATGCTGCTTGTTGCACTCAAAAATGTTTTTGTTTGTTTTGTTTGGGTTTGCTGTCTCAGTAGGTTCTTCTTGTCCTTTAACTGTCCCCATGGTTCTGTCTGGGGGCCCCATTCTTCTCTCGGTGACTCCACTCCTCCCACATCCAAGGCCTGAATTGCCATGATTTCTACACTTGGACATCCTATTTCTGAGCTCCTGATTTGTAACTCCAATGGCCAACCCAGACGGCTGGATACCAGCACCTCTACTTGATTAACATGAAACGATGTTTTCCAAAACATTCCTGCCACCTGCATTCCTCCATTCCAGTAACTAGTGACGTCAACTATTATCCGAATAACAGTGAGGTTTGTGATCAGTACATTTCATGTTTCTATTCTATATTCCGAAAAATCTCCATAATTGATGCCTCTTTTCCAAATATCTTGCAACAACTATCTGCATTCAGACTTTTCAGATTTCCCATCTCTAACCCTCAAACCAGCCTCTTCAGCTCAGATGTGATAGGATCTGATACTGCTACCACATTCTAAATGCCATCTGCATTATAGTGCGTCCACCGCTTAAAGAGGAAGAAAAGTGTTGTGCGTTTTTTTTCCTTCTTTTTAAATTCTGAAGCATCAGATTGAATGGAGGCAAGTGATTACACGGCTGGCTTTGACACATCAGAACAACAGATAACACAGATGCCCTTCCTGTGGTCCTTTAGTCTAGAAGGATCACCAGCTCTGACTCACACCTACCTTGCTTTGTGAGGCTACCCCACACCCATTCATAAGCTTCATTCAGCCTAGGGAGGGGATGAGTGCGTGTGAGGGAAAGGAGGCAGATCCAGTAGCAGCAAATCAGCCCTGTCCTGATGCCTATTGGAAGTGGGGTATCACACCACCAAATCCAAGATGCAAAGAGTGTGAGGACACCTGCACACAGTTCCTCAGACATCATGAGGGGCACTCTCTGGTCTATTTCCTTTCACTTTATCACACTTTGATCAGGCCCACACTAAAAGAATCACACATCCAATCTCTGTAACTAAATTGGGTGTTTCTTGCTTTTTTTTTTCCAGGTTGTATATTTACATAAAACAGCTTTACTCACAGCCTTGTAACGTTTGCAGCTACGGTTACACACCCCACGTGTGTGCGTTTGTGCATGCAGGCCTTGACCACACTGGTGCTCTATGGGCGTATGACTCGTACTCTAAATGGGGTCTGTCATCCATTGAATGAGATCTGATTATTTGTATTCTACAGTTCTCCGACCACAAAAAACCTATATATTGCCAAACAGCACACACTAGCTTACCACTGGTTTTGGTAAGTACCCCAGGTTGGAACACATCCATGTCCTTCTTATGTCTTGTCTATGCCTCCTTTGTTGCAGCAGAAACTGACTGCAAAGTCTAAAATATTTACTATCTGACTTTTTTCAGAAAAATTTTACCAGCTCTTCTCCTAGAGTCCCATTTATTCATATTCCAATTATCAAGAAGGTCTAAAGTAAAATACGATCAAGCAAGGATTGCTGATTTCTCTCTTATTACATGCTACTTTTAGTCAGAATAAGCTAAAATTGATTTACTAAAGATATATCTATAAAGCAGAAATAAACTCTGCATTAATAAATCGTCTTTACTACATGACAGAAACCCCATTTTCCTATATATTTTAGAATGCATAAAAGATGATTGAGAGAGATGAGTTTGAAGTAGCTACTAACTCATGTCAAAATTTGGTTTACATTTGAACTCATTTTCTCATTTTATCTCATCACCTTTTGAGGGAAATTGTAAAAGAAACCTCCTTCAGACTGAAAGACTGGAAGTAAATCATACATTAGAATTAACCTATCTCCTTAAGGCCCCGGGCTAGCAGATGCAGGCGGATGTTTCTTCCTAAGCAGTCACAAAGCCTGTCTTGGGAGTAGGGCCAAGGGTTTTGTATAATTGGCCATACATATTAGACATCTGTTTCAAGCATCTGAGTTCTTTTGCAATAATACATGAGTTTGTTGTGTATTTGCTTATAGAAACCCACTGTTCTCATGTTTTTCAGATGATCTCCCCTTTAGAGAAAAGGCAATTCTGCAACTTTGCTCCCTGTAACATAAAGTATTTGCTCAAAAATGACCTCTTTTTCAGGCCTGGTCCTCAAGGAGCTTGTGTTCACCTTCCTTACCAGGCTTGGCTCTGAATGAGCTGGTATTTTTTAAATGAGCCGTGCCTACCTACAAAAGGCAATGATTGGACACTTTGGAAGGTGGCAGTCGGTTCCCCTAAGTGAAAGTGCAAGAGCCCCGAGGGCAAATATAAAGCAGGACACATTGTAGACAATTCCACTGTAACTTCCCACTGTGGTTACCTGAGAGTTAGCAGTTATAGGATTCTGAATGTTAGGATCTTCCCTAAAAGAAAATAAAATTAGTCTAGTAATATTATCATTCCTTTATAAGTCACAATATCCAGCTTCATTTGCATATCTAAAATACTATCAAAGTCAAGATGCCTGATTCTTAAATTAGAGCTGGCTGGGTTATTTTCTTCTCAAATTGAATGCAACAGAACCTCCCCAGGTTGAGGCTGCTTACGTTTGTGCCATGTGAAGGTCTGGGACACCCTGGAGTCTCCGTACTTGATGAGACACATGATGCTGTGGTTTTTCGTTACATTGAATTCCAGTTCACTGCTAATCGAGTAGAGAGCAGTGTCCAAATCTTGGGAAACAGTGGTGTTGACAGCGCTTAATTCTCCATCTTCCCACCAGGAGAGGTGAGGCTCTGGAAAGCCTCCAGAGGCCGAGCATCTTAACCTTTTGATGTCAGGGACTGGATCTCCAACGTCAACTATGCTAGGACTGGAAAAGTCAGCTAAAGAAAGAATAAGGATGCTGTTATATGCCATGTGTGAGCATATTTTTTAAACAGATTGTTCAGCTTTTATGAGAATCATAAAATGGGATATATGCAACTTCCCATCAATCATTAATAATTATGTGTAATCCTTGTAGTAACTTTAGTTTGAATTGCTTTTTTCAATTCTCCATCACTTCAAAAAGATTTATTTATTTGAAAAGCAGAATCACACAGAGAGAGAATGCTTCAATTTGCTGGTTCACTCCCCACATGGCTGCAGCAGCCGGGTCTGGGTCAGCCTGAAACCAGGAGCCAAGGAATTTTATCCAGGTCTTCCACAGGGGTGTAGAAGCCCAACTAGTTAAGCCATCTTCATTGCTTTTCCAGGCACATTAGCAGGAAACTTGATTGGAAGTGGAGCAGCCAGGACTTAAATGAGCACCCATGGCATAACCCACCATGCCACAACACTAGCCCCCTCTGCCACTTTGATGGTGATAAGAGGGAATTTTTAGAAAAGGGAGAAATAGGTTTAAGGAAGTGAATGTTGACAGGCAAGAGAAATATAACAAACTGTTTACTGGGCTTACGTTTGTTAGCTTTGGGCTTGTGTCTATTAGATCTGGATATTATTTTATTTTGTCTTTCTAACATTCATGGAAGGTAGGTTGTAGACCAAAAAGAAAAAAGGCCAATATATTAGTAATTTTATATAATTTAACTCAATATAATATTCATCTTTTTTTAAAAAAAGGATTTATTTATTTGTTTGAAGGGCAAAGTGATAGGGTGAGGCAGAGAGAGGGAAAACTTGTCCTTTCTGGTTACTCCCCAAGTGTTTGCAATAGCTAGTGCTGGGACAGACTGAAGCCAGGACCCAGGAACATGATTGTTGTCTAAGTGTGTGGTCAGGAACCAAGTCCTTGGCCCTCACCTGCTGCTCCCTGGACATGTTAGTGAGGAGCTGGATTAGAGTAGCTGCAGCTCCAATGTGCACTCCAACATGGGGTGAAGGCATCCGAGCTGCTGCTGAACCCTCTGGGCCCCGATATCCACCCACAGTTTTCATGTTAGGAATAATCCAGCTGAGGGTTAGTGAAAGAACAACTGCTCCATGGCAGAGCGTGCGTCTGAAGTCCAGCTCTCCTAGGTCCAGAGCTGTGTGTCATGCTCTGGCTTTTGTTCCCTTCCTTCCTTCCTTCCGTCCTTCCTGGTACACAGTTCTTGTGGGGACTTGGGAAGTGAACCAGAGAATGGAAAATCTCTCTCTTTCTTACCCTCTTCTCTCTTTCTCCCCATCTCTCCTTTGCACCTTTCAAAGGGAGCGAAAACAGATGCCAAAATTGTGGCCACTGGTTCATGTCCTGGCGACCCCAGTTTCCATCCAGCTCTCTGCTTATGACCTGGGAAAGTAGTCAAGGTGAGGACAGCCCGAAGCCTTGGGACTTTGCATCTACGTGGGAGACCTGGAAGAAGATTCTGATTCCTGGCTTCAGATTGGCTCATTTTCAGCCATTGTGGCTGCGTGGGTAGTGAATCAACGGATGGAAGATCCTCCTATATGGGATCTCAGGCATGCAAGGTGAGGACTTTAGCAATTAGGCTACCATGCAGGGCCACCATTATTATTTCTTACTCATTAATTTATCCTTAAAATTAAATTATTACCCTTGAACTTAACATTGAAAACACTCCCTTTTGGGACTGACACCATGGCCCAACAGACCAATCCTCTGCCCTCAAGAGCTGGCATTCCAAATGGGCACCTGTTCATGTCCTGAATGTTCTGCTTCCCATCCAGCCCCCTGCTTGTGGCCTGGGAAAGCAGTCGAGGATGGCCCAAAGCCTTGGGACCCTGCAACCATGTGGGAGACCCAGAAGAAGCTCCTGGCTTTGGATCAGGTCAGCTCAGCTCTAGCTCATGAGGCCACGTGGGGAGTGAACCAGCAAACGGCCGATCTTTCTTTCTCTCCTTCTCTTTGTAAATCTGCTTTTCTGATTTTTTTAAAAAAAAAAAAACCTTTAGAAAGAAAAGGAAATTATTACTCATTTCAGCTCTGTACTGTGTAATAAACTATGGGAATGCATTAATATCAGGGCTGCATTACAAATCATGCTTTCCAGATCTGCATGGTCTTAGACAAGCCTCAGTTTTGTCTCCTATCCCTTTTGTGTGTGACTTGCTCAGGGTTGCTGCTTCTATGGCCTTGCAACACCATAAGCCATCAAAGAATGACTTCTGCATCTCACTTTGAGTCAGTTAGCTCTAGTTTTCACCAAACTTAGTGGGGAGGGGTTGAGCATCTGATGAGAAAAGGAAGAGAGAAAAGTTTTTTTTAAAAAAGTAAAAGCACCTTTAATCTAACCTGTTAACTAGTATAGCAAGTTTTCAAATAGTCTGTTAACAGAGGTTTTCATATGAGGATACTGCAAAAAGTTTATATAAAATGGAATGGAAAGTTGATTTTGGTGCAAAGACAATTTAAAGTTCACACGTAGTTTATTCATAGCACTTATTTTCCATAAACTTTTTGAAGACTGCTTGCATGTTTCTATGCTGATATTTTATTATAATTTTATAACTTCAATTTAAAAGTTCATTTATTTCTTTTGAAAGGCAGAGAGAAACAACACTCTTCTGGCTCATTCCCCAAATGCCCCCAACACCAGGCTGAGGCCAGGATCCTGCTACCTCATGTGTGTGTGGGGGGGGATGCATTGATTCAAACCAGAGCCTGCTGCCTTCCATGATACACATTAGCAGGCAACTGGGACCGGGAGCAGAATCAGGGGCTTAAATGCTGGCTGTGTGGGATGTGGGCATCTTAACCATGACACCTAAATGCCAGCTCTACAATGTTAACAAAAGTAGTGTCATCAACTTTTACTGGTTTTCCTGAGAATTCCTTATTTTAGCACCAGAAACTTTGTGTCTCAAAGAAACCCCTCAGTCCCAACAAGAGAGAGTGGGTTATTGCTGTGATTCAAGGATGTTTCATTCCCCCCGGCACTCCTACTGAAGTTTAACCCTGCTTTACAGTGTTTAGAGATGGAAAATTTAGGGGTAAAGGGCTCCGCCTCATAAATGAATTAAGCCTTGTTAAGGAGAGGAAAGTGACATCAAGTTCTTATGCCATCTGCCCACACCCTCTCACCCCTGGGCTTCCATATTTGCTGTGCCTCTGTGGTAACCAGTGTTACGGTAACTGACAGGTCCACTTGCCTGGCTAGCTGCCCACAAATCTGTTATTTGATGATTTGGTTTGGCATCACTTTTGTATGTAAGCCTATAGAAGCAATGCAGGGCATGGCTAGATGCGGCTGCTTGTGAATATGATGTGTGTACATGCCTCTGTGTGTGTGTGTGTGTGTCCAACTGCCACTACAGACACAAAGTAGACATTTCCTGTGGCTTCACTGCCATTGGGGCAAGTGACTGTTCCTGGTACATTTCTCACTGCTACAGTGAGTAAAGGAGATAGAAACCCACAAGCAACTCCACATTGTCCTCCAACCTGTCAAAATCCGCATCTGCTTATGCTGGGCCCCAAACCCTGAATAAATATCCACTCATGCAACTCACGGGTCAATGAGTTCTGTCAAGAGGAGATTGGCCATGGAAGTCAGTATGGCTCAGTTGCCCTCTTGCCGTGTGATGCCTTGTGGCACCCTGGGCTCTGCCAATAAGAAGACCATTACCAGATGTGGACCTTTGAGTATGGGCTAGAACCATGAGTCAAAATAAATCTGTTTTCCTTATAACTTAGCCAGTCTGTGATGTCATGTTATTAGCAATGAAAACTGGAGTAAGACAGTCATTCTGACCAATTCTACCTTGACTCCTGGCTTCTGAAACTGTGGGCCTGGGGATTGTTAGCAGCTCAGACTCTCAGACCCAACTCCACACCTACTGCAGCTGAACCGGCCGAACCCAGGGGAATCCTTGCACCTTATTGTGGGAGATGGGGCTTAACTGACTTACCTGGAAAATTCAGCCCAATTCTGGGTAAAATTAGGCAGATGAGTTCTTCCTTTTAATCTCTGATTCCCCCTGCGGACCCTGCACAGCTTCTGTGTTCCCTTAGCTCTCTTTGATTTCCTGTGTGTTCTGCTAAGGTCACCTTGGAATGTTCCATCTTTTGTGTTTTGAGTTTTCTTCTCTTTGTATGAAGACCTTCCACTTCTCTGTCTAGGTATTGTGTTTGGGGACTGTGCACTTTCTGTAAGTAGTTAATATGGGCTAACATATGCTGCGGTGCCTCCCGCTCCTCCCACACAATACATCTTCATTTTTAAAAAGCCTCTTATGACAGGAAGATGCTGACACTAACAGGAATGGCCATGAGAAGGATTTTAGAAATCAGTATAGGTAAACATTTTACAAGGGGTGGGCCTCCTAGTACCTCTCAAATCACAGCCATACAATCATCAGCCCTACCCATGAGTTGGGAATATAGAGTGAGATTTTCAGGAAGTTTCTTGTAACTTTAGCCTATCTCCATAAGCTGTG